TCCCTGAGGAAGAAGGACCGGAGCGCGATGTGCTTGGTTCTAGAGCTGCACATCGCGTTGCTGGCCNCACCAAAGAATATCGACCTCCACATGAGTGAATCCATACTGTGAGCAATACATGCGTTCAAAACATTCAACCATGCCATGCGATTGTGCTTCATATCTTCTAGCACGTGTAGTCCTTGATGCGTTGCATGATGGTGGAGAATCGCTGCTTCGGGAGATGTTTCGTCGCGATGTCCGCCAACATCGTGGCACTAGGTTGGTGGTGAAGAGTGATCCGGTGCCCCTTCGTGAGTTCCTGAGGAAGAAGAACNCGCGATGTCCGCCAACATCGTGGCACTAGGTTGGTGGTGAAGAGTGATCCGGTGCCCCTTCGTGAATTCCCTGAAGAAGGACCGGAGCGCGATGTGCTTGGTTCTAGAGCTGCACATCGCGTTGCTGGCCACAGTCAATGCTCCGGTGCTGTAGCTGTTAATGGGTACCGATTGAAAGGTCTTGAATCCGATTTCCGTCATGAAGTTGGAGATGTAGAGTGCCTCGCGAGCACTGAAGCTCAGCGCTTGAAGTTCGGCCTCCACGGTGTTCTGTGCTGCGAGACTCTGTGCCTTGGCTCCGTAGCTGATCAGTCCCTCTCCTAGAAAAAACAGGTATCCGGTGGTAGACCTGCCGTTGTTTTGCTGGGTTGGCTCCAAATGACGAGTCAGTGAAGCACGAGAGTGAACTGCCCCTTCTTGTACACGATCGGCAGGTCCGGCGTTCCGCGTAGGTACCGTAGTAGGTGCTTGACCGCAGCCATGTGGACCTGTGCTGGGTTTGCGCATGCCCGTGTCAATTGGTGCACTGCGTATGACAGATGGTAATGGGTGCATTGGGCAAGGTACAGGAGACTCCCGGCGATGGCCTGGAATCTCTGCTTGTCGTCGGGTCCGAGTAGTTGGTCTTGTGGCTGCTCGATTGATAGTTCTTTCTGCTCCATGCCCGGGGGTGCTGACCGGGTTGTTTCATTCCGTATCGCTGTAGGATATCTCTCGCGTAGGGTCCTTGCGATATGGCTAGTGTGCCATGTTCGTAGTCCCGCTGCACTTCGATGCCGATTACGCGCTTGACCTCTCCCATGTCTGTCATTTCGAAGCTGTCCATGAGTTCCTTCTTTTTCCTGCTTACGATCTCCTTGTTTCCGCCCGTGATGAGGATGTCATCGACGTAGATCGGAGGATTGTGAGTTCGTCCCCGCTTACGAAGATGTAGACACAGGGGTCAGAGTGAGTGCGCTGCCAGCCGAAGATGATGAGTCTGTCATTGATGGCGTCGTTCCACAGTGACGGGGACTGTGACAGGCCGTACAGACTTTTCTCCAGTTTG